TTCGGATTGTTTTATTTATATATCGTTTGTCCTGTTTGTCCTGACTGAATGACTGACTGACTGATTGGTGATTAACACACAGCCCAAGCCATAAGAGCTAGGAAGCTGAAATTTTCACTGTAGATTCCAGAAATTCAACCCGCAAGTATGGAAAAATCGCGAAAAACATTTTTATGAATCTCAATTTCCATTTCAAAGATCTTTGTTCAAATTAATTTGAGGGGTGTTTTACAATTTTCCAAAAATGTATTCCTCTTCGGTGGAAATGGGGGTCAAAAATTTGGTGGGTAACATTTCGCGCTCAAATTCATTTCCAAGGATCTATCTATATGAAAAATCATTTGAGGCATGTTTCACATTTTTCGCAGAATCAAAGCATGCTCGGTCAAAAGTGCGATTCTAAGATTTTTTTAATAAATACGTGTTTTAGTGATTTGGGAAATTCCACCCACAACAGTGGTTAGTGCCATCAGTGCTAACCATCCGATCGCCCTCAAACTCATTTTCAAAGGTCTTTGTTGAAATTCATTTGAGGGATGTTTCACACTTTTCGAAAAATCCATTCCTCCTCGGTGGTAATGGGAGTCAAAGATTTGGTGGGCGCCCCTTCGCCTTCAAACTCATTTCCATGGATCTACATAAAAAATCATTTTAGATGTGTTTCACATTTTTTGCAAAATCTAAACTACTTTGGTGTATTTTAAAGATATATTTTGTGAATTTTAAGTTGAGTCCGATTTGCATCTAACTTATTTTCAAAGCTATACATAAGAATATAATAAATACATGTTCGCAGCAGTGGTAAAATGGGGGAAAACGTTCGTATGAGAGTAGTTTATTTACCGCCCGCTCAGTTTCAAAATCATTCTCATTGCTTTTTGAGAACATTGATTTTATTACATAAGTGCCACGAGCAAGGCCAGGATCTGCCCGATAGTATTTATATATAATTATTTATATCTATATATATCTATTTTATCTGTCAATAGTCAAGTCTATATAACCATGTCCGTCAGTCTGTCTTATACAATAAATATTTTTAGCTTTAAAGCTGTAGACTTAAAATGTTGCATAGGTCCGTCTTGTTGTTGCAGGCAATATCTTTGTTGGAACCGGTTGGATCAGACCGCTATACCATATAGCTCCCATAGAAACGATCTGTTGAAAAGTAAATTCTGGTATGAAAAACGTTTGTTTATCAAGATATTTTGACCAAAATCTGCAGCTATTATTTTCACTCTACTGTTAAGGCAGTGTAAGTGACATAGGAAAAAACGGTCGAAAACTTAACATTTGGTTGAATTTTTGTATTGAGAAACCTATTGACTGAATACTGAATTTCTTGTATTCTTTTATTTGACTTAAATTCTGCTGCCAGGAAAAATTGGTAAGACGACGGATATTGCTTTTGCGAATATTTATGTAACATGCAGAAGAAGACACGTGGGAAGACTTAAAGTATACATATATATCTATTTTTGTTCAGACGAGGAGTTGAGTGGATTTTCCCACGTTCGACTGTCTGCCCATGTGTATAAATGTGTCGATCGCAGAAACTACAAAACCCGGAGAGATAAGATTGGCCATTTTATATTGATATCTCGTTACAATTGCAAATTATGGATAAATGACGATATGTGTATACATATATTTATAGCTCTTCCGCCTGCGCTACACTATTTGAAAATCAATGTTGAATATATATATAAAAGCAGTTGGGCGCACATTGGTGTTTGTGCGCATAAATGCATCTTTAACTACCTGGGCCGTATTTTATGGTTAAGGAAACCAAATTATTGTATTAACTCGACTTCTCTTTTTAATTGTTTTTACTCCCATTTTATATTGCTAGCATATTATTACAGTTTATGTTAAAAGACGAATTTTTTTTTCAGCATGTGAAAAAATAGAATAGAATAGAATAGAATATATTAATGCTACGGTTACACTTGTTTATTACAGATGCACTGTACTATAGTTAAAGCGGACGAAAATAGGCATCCCTTAACCAATAAAGTCAACTAGCTTGTCTCCACAGCATCACGAGCTCTTAGTAATTGCACAAAATGGAAGCATGAAATATATTTATTGTGTACTGTTTGTAACAGTAAATAATATTTACTGTAAAAACATTTCAATGCTAGATTATCGTATAAAAAGGAACTGGAGAACGTCAACATTATATTTAATAATTGTTCCAAAAGAACACACTTATATACCTATCTGTGCAAGTATTAAAATGTATTTATTTAAATACGGGCAATAAAGAGGACAATCGGGCTGCTAATGATCTAATAGTCTGACTTCAGAGTAAACATTTGTTTCTTTATTTATTGTAAGCTTGGAATCAACGAAAAAATGTTTAAAGAGTTGCATTTGAATATTTAAGTAGACAGCGAACGCTACTTTAATAAGACTGCATATTCTTAAGAACATTATTTAAAAAGACGGTAGGGCTGTTTTCATAGATTTAAAATATAAAGAAACTTTGTTTTTTGTAGTACACATTTTATATTGTGTGTAAATCGGTCTTTTTAGCCTTTTTCAACAAATAACTTGTTTAAAACGTATTAAATAAGGTATATTTATATGAGTCACGTGTTAATCTGAAACCCGGCTTTTTTCCTTTATCTCTTTAAAGTTGCGGTGTGTAACAGGCAGATTTATTGACCATCCAATTAGCGATAGATCTGTATGATCTGTAAATACTATTCTTGAAACTACATGTCAAATTTGGTGGCTCTAGCTCTTAAATCCTAAGCGATTTGCTCAAAATACATTATTGATTATCGAAATACATTCTTACTGCGCGGCCTTTGTTCAAAATTTTAAGTCTCTAGCTCCTATAGGTGCTGAAATCGATGCTCAAAATACATTATTGATTATCGAAATACATTCTTACTACGCGGCCTTTGTTCAAAATTTTAAGTCTCTAGCTCCTATAGGTGCTGAAATCGATGCTTTCATACATACGGACGGACGGACATGACTAGATCGATTTGGCTATTTATGCAGTTCAAGAATATACATACAATATACTTAATGGGTTAAGGAATGCGTCTTCTGCCTGTAACTTTCGCTCAAAACCATTAAGCCCTTCTTACCCAGCTTTAATTGTGTGCATAAAAACGGAGGACCAACTTATCGTACATCGAGCTACAAATTCTTTAATTTACTATAATACATACTTAATTCAGGAAAGGGTTAAAAGCTTATGAGACAAACAATTGTTGGCCAGTAGCAGGCCTGTTTGCAAATTAGCACTTATGTGTATAACTGAAATGTATTTTTGAAACTTAAATATGGGTATGCAGAAGACTAGCAAGTAAATAAAAGAACCAAATCTTTAGCTGAATTAGTATGTTAATAACACTGTTCGAATTGTACATGTATACAGTAAGATATCATTTTGAAATTTAAGATAGGGTAGGCAATGTAATGATAAAGATGCTGCTAATATTGGGTCTAGCAAAGGCAGTATTTATCAATTGGATACAGAAAAAATTATATATATTTTTTTTTTAAGTAGAGAAGAGAAAAATTAGGTGTTAAGGAAAATTTTTTAATTTGTGCGTGTGCTAAGACGATCTGCTCAGTATTTTATTGTATTTTCGTTGCTTATAAGTAGTTAACAATAGGAGACATAAATAATACAAAAATGCGTCCGACTGTGAAACGGACCAGATGACAAATACCTGGCATGAAAAAAAAAATTTTTTAAACTACATGCAAGTCTCAACGTAAAACAAATATATGAGAATTATAGAAATACATAATTATATTTTAAAAATAATTTTAAATTAAACATGGTAATTTTGTGTTTGCTGATTCACATATTAACAGGTGCTATCAGGTAATAACAGAGCATATTATGAGTTTAACGTGCCTCTGTTAAAAATAACAGGCTCGCAAGTGCGCTATCACTGCGGCTCTTTTTGCGTTTGTACTGTAAAAACGCGCTGTTATTTACATTTCCAGACAATATGAGTTTAACAGTGGCTCTGTTATCGTTAACAGACTCAACAGTGTGCTCTAACAGAGCCTCCTTTTTGCGTTCGTACCGCAAAACAGCTTCTGTTATTTATATTTCCATACCATATGCTGAGTTTAACAGCGCATCCGTTATCGTTAGAAGACTCATAAGTGCGCTCTAACAGAGACCCTTTATTGCGTTCGTACTGCAAATTAGCTGCTGTTATTTACATTTCTAGTCCATAAGATGAGTTTAAACACCAACCAAACAACATATAGACTTAGTTTTGTGCAGCTTCATAAAACGGCATCGCTGCTTTTTTTTTATTCCCTCGCACTACAGCAAACTGCTTTTTTTTTAATATGAAATAATGAAAGGGTTTGCCACGTCGTTGCGAAATTCTTGCATTTTAGCTCGTTATCGTTGGTAAGGGTACCTAAGCGTTGCCATGTGTGCATTTAAAATATTTTGGACTCGCTATTCACGAAACTTGCATACTTTGTATATGAATAGAGGAATTTGTGCGCTTGTGTGCCTGTTAGTGGCCTGCCTGCCTGTCCCTCGCAAATTTGAAGTTTTTGTGATTTCTGTGTTTCGGGCGCTAAAAACACGCACACAAATATGTGTAAATGGGCAGATCATGGGCGCAAAAGAAAATTCATTATTGGCAAGAAAATGCATTATGAACCCGAACAAAAAGCGACTTTGGACCAGCCGCACAGAAAACGAGAGGACCCATCGCCATCCACTGATTGTCCAGCATATATGTATATATGTACGTTATTTGGCTAGTCGTTTAACAGTGCCTCAGTTATCGTAAACAGACGCGTAGGTGCGCTCTATTTGTGTTTGTGTGCATAAACGCATCTTTGAATACCTTTTTCCAACCCCATAGACAGTTCTCGCAACTGTCTTCACCAAATCAAAAAAAAAAAAAGAATACCTTTTTTTTTTGTTTTTGATGGTTAAGGAAACCAAATTATTATATTAACTGGTACAGGAGATTTTGCAATCGAGCACACCCGACTTCTGTTTTTAATTGTTTTTATTCCCTTTGTATATAGTTACCATATTATTACAGTTATATGTTTAAAAACGAATTTATTTTTTCCAATGTGCGATTCAGTAGCGGCAAACGCGGGCCACGCATATATTCCTGTCCTTACACATATGGTGCGGTGACAGTGGCTTACTATGTAAGTGACTATAAATATAATATATTAATGCTAGGCTTACACTTATATTGCAGATGTACTGTACTATAATTATTAAAGCGGACAAAATCAGGCATTCCTTAACCAATAAAGTCAACTCGCTTGTCTCCACAGCATCACGAGCTCGTAGTAATTGAAAAAAACGGAAGCATGAAATATATTTATTGTGTACTGTTTGTAACAGCAAATAATATTTGCTATAAAACCATTTCAAATCTAGATTATCGTAAAAAAAGGAACTGGAAAACGTCAACATTAATGTTGTGTCTTGCATGCTTGAAGTTTTTATTAAGAAAGAGGTCGAGGTCTTATATGCATATGTATGTGCATGTGAGGTTTTACATATCGATATTGTTATTAAGATCTAGTTCTACTTATCGATACAAGTGTTGCCACACGGCTGACGTTAATAATTTATTTATTAAAATGCAACGTATCCATCAATTATATTTAATAATAGTTCCAAAAGAACACACTTATGTACCTATCCGTGCAAGTATTTAAATGTATTTATTTAAATACGGGCAATAAAGAGGACAATCAGGCTGCTAATGATCTAATAGTCTGACCTCAGAGTAAGCATTTGTTTCTTTAACTATTGTAAACTTGGAATCAACGAAAAAATGTTTAAAGAGTTGCATTTGAATATTTAAGTAGACAGCGAACGATACTTTAATAAGACTGCATATTCTTAAGAGCATTATTCAAAAAGGCGGTAGGGCTGTTTTCATAGATTTAAAATATAAAGAAACTTTGTTTTTTGTAGTACACATTTTATATTATTTGTAAAGCGGTCTTTTAAGCCCTTCTCAACAAATTACTTGTTTAAAACGTATTAAATAAGGTATATTTATATGAGTCAGGTATTAATCTGAAACCCGGCTTTTTTCCTTTATCTCTTTAAAGGTGCAGTGTGTAACTGGCAGATTTATTGACCATCCAATTAGCGATAGATCTGTATGATCTGTAAATAGCACGCGAAAAGGATTGTGCATAGCGTAGTCTGTTGTAACACGTAGATAGGAATAGGAATATATAGGAAGAAATACATTATTATATTTTAAAAATAATTTTAAATTAAACATGGTAATTTTGTGTTTGCTGATTCACATATTAACAGGTGCTATCTAGGTAATAACAGAGTATATGATGAGTTTAAGAGTGCCTCTGTTATAAATAACAGGCTGATTCACATATTAACAGGTGCTATCTGCGGCTCTTTTTGCGTTTGTTCTGTAAAAACGCGCTGTTATTTACATTTCCAGACCATATGATGAGTTTAACTGTGGCTTTGTTATCGTTAGAAGACTCATAAGTGCGCTCTAACAGAGACCCTTTTTTGCGTTCGTACTGCAAATTAGCTGCTGTTATTTATATTTCCATACCATATGCCCATTGAGTAATAAAGAGAAAGAGCAGGCGTTTGGATCAAAAGCTCTTTTTAAAAATACTTTCTGAGCGAAAACGAGGTTGCAAACACAACACCTGGCTGTCTGCAGCTACTCCTGCCGATGCCCACAATTCAATGACAACTTCAAAACATTTTCCATAAGTACCAACAACAACCATAATCAAAACAAACAACTCGACAATGAAAAAAGCATGCCACAAATTCTGTCCTTGCTATCCCTTTTTGTTTGAGGCTACAGCCTATGATCTTAGCTTCTGTACCCTTCTAACTAATTGTTGTGGTTTCTAAGCACTGCTATGCCTATAATTCGCAAAGTCATGTATTCTTCTGCACCACTCGCTTTCAACTTGCAAGCAACTCAGATTTTTATAATTTTTCATTTTTCGACCAGCAGGGCACCTTTCTAAAAATAGGGTATTTTAACTATTAATAAGTGATGTAACCAAATAACACAAACCTTCTTATGTATACATTTTTATTCAATGTCTATGAAAAATATAATTTTGTATTTAGTGTGCAACTATTAGTACAGTTAATAATAATTGTTTCCTGTATAAATTATATACCATTCTTATAAAAAATAGTATCAAAGCCGCGACCCGCCAAATAGTTGATTATGTGTGTCTCATCTCACACATATTGGTGCAAATCTGCATATATGTATGTGGCTGCCAAGCCAAGGGAAGTCTATGAATTTAAGAAGATTGCAATGTTCTGTTGCGCATGTGACGTCACAGTCCAAGGCTTTTTATGAGCGATCATTTCGTGTAAAATGATTACATTTGTCAACAAATTATTTACTATAAAATGCCTCATTCATAAGTTATTTAAAAGTACGTAATAAAGGTAGAAATATATACTAAACATCACAAGAAATGAAATACTATAAATTGTGACGTCATAATATATGATGTTGGGCGCCGTGCGCGTAACCCTTTGATCTGAATGCCATGGCCTGCTGGCATTTTCTACCTACTTGCGCCGAGACTCGGCTCTGCAACAACAACATTAGTACCCAAATTGTGCTGTTCTTGTTTCTACGCACTGCCTTGTAGGAACGACAGAGAAACCCGCAGAGAACACAGTGGCTTTTTTGTCCCTTTTTTTTGCACTGAGTTTCCTATGTCCTCTTTATGGCTAACAAACCTCTTGCGATTAAAACGGGGGATGAAGACCAAATTAGGTTTCGTGCGCACTGTTGTTGTTTTGCAAGTGATTTGTTGTTGCTTCCTAACACAGTGGCATAATCTATCCCTTTTCTTTGCACTAAGTTTTCTATGTAATCAAAATCATGCACCAACTTTTCAGCGATCACAACAGACGACGAGAAAAAAATTGGGTTTCATGTGCACTGTTGTTGTTTTGCTAGTGATTTGTTGTTGCTTCCTATGTTAAAGGAGCTTTATTTGTTGAGTTTGATTTTGCATTTGCTGACCAGCCTTAACCACCTTGCGCCAGTTTTAAAACGGGAATAAAGGCTCGGAGTGAATATTCCGCTCTTTATCTGTTTATTACTCAATGGGTTTTGGCAAAATTTGATTTTGTTTGAGGGGAAAGAGCACAAAATGGCGATGGGTGGTTGAATCAGCTAAATGGCGCTTTGTTGTGATTAATTTGTAAGTGTGCTTTGGTTTCGCACGAAGTTGATCAGATTAGCCGATTCACCAACCAAATGAGCTTTTAATTTCTATGCGCGCAACTAGGTTGAGGAACTCGGATGGGATTTGGAAAAAAGCACCAAGCCTCGACAATCTACAGTTGCGCTTGCTTCCAGTTTCGTCAAGTTCCTATGCGCGCGTTGCTTATATGGACACCGAAAAGGGGAAGAAATGTATACGAATATGTATGTATATGAGAGTTGTACATATGTATATAAAAGAAAAGAATGTTTAGATAGGAGTTGTAAAATATGTAGATGAAAGTGATATATATGTATATGTTTTGACTGATGTATGTATATGTATAAGTTATCACCCAGCCCGCAAGGCAATTCTTATTGCAATCATAAACAACATATCAATATAAGTCGCTATCCCTATTACTTAGCCCTTTCAGACTTATTAGACCCGTTTCAATCACTACGCTGCAGATCTGCTAACATATATATACAGATTCCCGGCTCTAACATAAACATAACAGCGCAACCACTTAACATAAAGATTCATATTCTAATGCGCAATTCATAACGTAAACTGAAGACCCAGTCTTTAGAATGCAATTGCTGACGTAAGCATAATTCATATTCTCATGCGCAATTCATAACGTAAACTAAAGACCCAGTCTCTAGAACGCAATTGCTAACATAAACATAGCTGATTCGCAGCATAAGATCACCGCGAGCTTTTAAGCTTTAAGAGAATAAGCTTTATCATAACCATAGCTGACTTGCAGCATAAGTTCACAATTGTACTTTAGTTCTAATCTTGAATTCAAAAAAATCGGAAGCCTTCAGCCTCCCACTTAAAAATATATTTTTTTCCAATTAGTAGCCACTAATTGGTTAATTGGCGCCCAACGTGGGGCTCGCGATTATAAACACAAAAAAAGGATAATTAAAAAAACAAAATCGCGAGTGAGCAAAAGTGCCGATTTACCAGTCCAAGATTGTTTCAAAAAGAGCATCAAAAATTTTCTAAGAACGAAAATATCGAGTGCCTCTAAAAGAAACATTAAAAATTTCCGACGAACGGAAATACCCTGTTTCTGAAAACTTGAAGAGTAGTGAAAATACCCTGAGCTGGAAATATTAACTGTTCACAAGACTTTAAAGTGAAATCACATTTCCCGTTCAAGTTAAATGAAAACATTCCAAAAAAATTAACCGATCAAAGAAGCGAAGCGAATATTTTCGCCAACAAAATTTTGTCATCAATCAAAAACTATTAACCAACTAAAAAATATCACGTGAACCTGAGACCCCCATAAAAGAAGACCTTAAACCCAGAAGGAAAGAAGGAAGGAAGGAAGGAAGACTTGAACGCCATATATATAATCACCCATAAAGAAAGACCTTTTACGTGAGCCATCATCATTTACTTTAAAAAAATTTTTTTTTTTTACTTGAGTAATGAGAGTTTAAATTTGTGTAAGCATTTGTTAGAATAATAAGTGCTATAAGCTGGATACCCATATAGAAAGTTTAATTGAAGATTTTCAAAATTTAAAAATGGCCAACAATAATAACTTGACAGCTGATTTGGTAGCCCAGTTGATTGCGACTCAGACCAGAGCGCTTCAAGAGCAAATTGCAGAATTGAAATTACAAATCACTCTCTCGTCTAATAATGAACAAGAATATAAGGTTACTGAAATAAATGACCTTATTCGTTGCGATGAATCTTTTGACGTTATCAAGTCTATACCAGAATTCTCAGGCAGCTATAATGCATATGTTAGTTGGCGCGAAGCCGCTTGCTGTGCCATGCGAATGTATAAAGAAGGAAGTAGGAAGTACGTAGGTGCTTTAACAATATTGAGAAATAAAATAACAGGTAAAGCTAATGACACCTTGACTAATCACGGTACCGTTCTTAATTTTGAAGCTATACTTGCAAGGTTGGATTTCGCCTACAGTGATAGACGACCAATCTACATAATAGAACAGGAGTTAAGTATTTTACGACAGGGTAACTTATCCGTTCTTGAATACTACAATCTAGTTAATAAAAAACTAACCCTTTTGATAAACAAAACGATTATGACGTATGGTGACAAAGCCAACATCATTACAGAAATGAACAAGAAAAACAGAGACAACGCTTTAAGAATTTTCATCACAGGTCTTAACGGTTCTTTATCAGAAGTTTTGTTCTCCCTTAAACCTGAAAATTTGCCTAATGCTTTGGCAAAAGCTCAGGAACTGGAAGCGAACTACCAAAGGGCTAACTTCGCTTACCACCACT